TTTTATTACTTATTTTTTATATGACAAAACAAATATTTGATAAAAAATGCAAACATTGCACTAATATGAAAAGTAAATTTCTACTAGAAAGTGCACCAAGATACATTAGTTTAAAAACATTATGGGGAAGGAGGAGGAACCTTTCCAGTATGGGGAAGGAGGTGGGGGACAATTGATTTTGCACGTTGCAGTCTGAGCTACATTTGTTAACTGAGCTTCCTACTTCAAGACCTGACGAAACTCGTGAAAAAATAAGTAATAAATGACAAAAGCATTTAATGAAGTAAAGACCTGTCCTTCTGACACTTTTAAAAATAAAATAAACTGAACGGATCTTAGTGTGCTGCCGTCAACTTTACATTAATTGCACTTTATGTGGATGTTTTCTTGAAGTTTTCCTTCAATTTCTCCAGGCCCCCTGTGTTACTCCATCAGAGAAGTATACGATTCCTGTTTGGAACGATTGATTATCTTGTTCTAACGAGCATGTTGCTCTGGAGTACCCACTAAATGGGCTAAATTAAAATGTATTTTCAAATAATGTAACTAATAACTGAAACACTATATAAATGATTGTAATTATTTTTTTATGTGGAAAATAAAGGTGTACAATACTGTACATAATTTTGTTATATATAAAGAATTTTACTTTCCAAAAACGATGGTGTTTGTGTTTCAATGTTGTTTTTATTCTTATTTCTGATACGCTGAGAAAGTTATTTTAAATTACGAAACCTATTACGTTTTTCCCTTATGGTAAATTGTAAGTCTGTATACCAAACCCTCTGGTGGTTGTTACATCAATCAGTGTCAGGCTCATGCCTTTCTTTGGTCTGGAATCACATGGGAACAAGATTTAACTCATTCTTTAAACAACCCCTTTGGTGTTATATTTCTGCCCTCACTTTTTCATGGTTGGTTTAGTATACAAAATAGGCCAACTGTAGTTTGTTTTGTCAGGACAGACTAGTTAGTTGCAACTGCAAGACTTTTAAACAGATAATTTCTCTACACTGGTCTAGCATAAGTGGCCTCTGTGCACATGGGAACTGACTTCCGACACCTCATTAACCCTAAAAATACCAGAAAGGTCCATACGGACTCCAACATCCTTTTAAGCATTTCTCTAAACTACTTATGCACCAAATTACTTGTGAATCCATGGCTTTGTTGATTACAAATAAAACAAGTCATATCAAAAAATGTAGCCAAAATAATCCATAAATATTACCATTAATCCTATTACATACTGCAAGGACATACAGAAAAACTGGACACAATAATGGTCATCATCTTGTAATGGCCACGATTATGGAAAAGCTCAATTTCAGTAAGTACACTGTAGGAAAACAAGGCAGATGGATGTGGAAAAACCAACAACTGAATGAGGAATTTCAAATTAAATTGAAAAACAGGTTCAAAATATTTAGAATTATCGAAGATAAATAGATAAACAGAATTGGGGTGATCTGAAGTGAACTACTTTGAAACTGGCTGGAATATTACTGCCCAGAAAAAGGGATAAAAATAATGGTTTGATGATTTACTTGTTTGTTTATAACTAAGCACAAAGCTACACAATGGGCTATCTTTGCTCTGCCCACCACGGGTATCGAATCCCGGATTCTAGCAATGTAAGTCCTCAGACATACCTCCGTGTAACTGGGGGGCTAGTTTGATGATAAATGTAGACATGATACAGCAAAGAGAAAATCTCATAAACTAAACTGAATAAGTGATAGAAATAATGAAGAAATGAGAAGAGTAATGTAGGAAAAACTAAGACAGTCACCAGACAGAAGAGACAAACATTGAATGTCATGTTAGGTAAAACAGAGGAAGGTTTGAATCATGGAAGAGCCAGAGAACACTACAGGGATTTGAAAATGCTAAGAGAAGACTAACAATGATTAATGGTGCTGATGGCAGTACAAAAACAAATGAAGTCATGGACACATGGCAAATTGCTAAGAGAAGACTAACAATGATTAATGGTGCTGATGGCAGTACAAAAACAAATGAAGTCATGGACACATGGCAAATCTATTTGGAATTATTACTTAATAGACCAGAACCACTACATAGACTTGATTTTGCCAAGAATGAGCACAGAAATCATGAAAGAGAAGAAGACGTACCAACTGTAGCTTAAACGGAAGAGAGTTTAAAGTCTTTAAGTAATAACAAAGCTCCAGGGATAGATAATATATTATTTTAACTGACTTAGAACGGTGATAACTTGATAGCAGAAAAGGTGTTTGAATTAATCAAAAACATAAACCTTCTGATTACAAAATGACTATTAATCCCAGTACACAAAAAAGGAAACATACTGGAATTTACTAACGATAGAGGTATTGCATTATTATCATTAATGATGTATGAGATTCTGACTAAAATCAACTATAAAAAAAAGCGGAAGTGATACACTGATGAAATTATCGTAGAACATCAATCATGATTCCAGCACAAGAAATAAACTATGGACCAGATTTTTGTGGGGAGGCAAATTTAAGAAAAATATTGGAGTATGACAAGCTACGTTGGAACTTACTCGTTGATTTCAAGCAGACCTAACTGTATATGCAGGCCAGTTCATGAAGGAATTTTTAATAAACTGATAAAAAATTATTGTTCTAAGGTGGAGACTGACCTCCAACAGGAATGCCTCTGGTCATCATTGCTCTTCAATATTGCAATAGAGATAAAAACAAAAGAACTTGTGCATAGGCATCAGGGATTAAACCTGAGCTGCAATAATAAAATCAAATTATAAATGTACTTGCCTATGCAGATGACATAGAAAATATGGCTGAAAGCAAAGTAGCAATTACAGAATTAGCATCGTCTTTTAAAGAAGATGGGATTAACCATCAGTGAGGAAAAAAAAAATATGAAGATATATAGAGGTGAAGAATTTGGACAACAGAGAAGAGTAAGGAAGACGAATACTGAGTTCAGACATCTGGGAACCACAAGAATAAGAGGTAATAATTCAAAAAAAGAGGTGATAAACAGAACTGTAAATGGATATAGATGATTCTGGAGCTTAAAAGAAATGCTAAGTACAAAAAGTGTTAGTAGGAAAACTAAAATTAGAATACTTACTACCATTATGAAATAAATTGTCCGATATGAATCGGAAATGTGGTAACTTACAAAATATTTAGAAAACAAAGTCCAGGTCTTTTTGAGAATATGGTTTTACATAGAATTTTAGAGCTAGTTTATGGCAGCTTAACTTCTATTACAAATATCGTAAAAGCAAGAAGAATGCGATGTAACCAGAATGAAAGAAGACAGACTATTCAAGACTGTTATGTTCGGAAGAAGACCAGAGATAATGATGGTGAGGACACCTTCGATGTGTTAGTGTAGAAGATGAAGAACAGTCAGAGGTTGTAGAAAATAAGGAGAGAGATGGACACTCCACCAGTATTTACTGGTATAAAAACAACTGACTAATTGGAGGGTAAAGGAAACTCCACCAGTATTTACTGGTATAAAAACAACTGACTAAATTGAGGGTTAAGTAATTTCATTTCCTCTTGATTTATATTACAAGCACCAATTATAAGTGATAATGCTTCTCTTGGTTAACTTACTATAAAACAATTTTTACCTATGGTAGGAATTGTGGTAACAATGTCTCCTAACTTCAGTTTATACAGAATTGTTGTTTTTCCAGCAGCATCAAGTCCTACCATCAAAATCCGCATCTCCTTCTTCCCAAACAGATCTTTGAAAAGCGAGACAAATATATTTCCCATGGATGTGTTGGACTTTGATCACTTAGAGGCATAGAATAAAGAACAATGATCAACATTACAACAATGGCTAAAATAAACAAATCATTTTTAATTAATACTAAGATCAGATTTGGACTTCACCTTTAGCATTAATACCTTTTGATTTATCCATACAATTAATTTAAGAAAAAAATTGTTTTCAAATTAAGTTTTAATGACCATTAAACACTTTTCGGTTGTTGTTTACAACCAATATCAACCTCCACCAGATTCTACTAGCTGTTTATTTTAAATCTGGTGTCTTCCATTTAAGTTGTAGTGCGGCTAGTTTCAGGACCAAGTAATATGACCCGTTTGATGGCAGATGTCACAAGAATAGATGCTGCACATCATTAAACCCAAGTTAATCTTTGACATTAAGCTTTTCAAAAGAACACGCAGTTAACAAGGTGACAATTGTGAGGTTATTTCTTCACTTGGCATAATATTAGACAACACTAGTGTTAATATCATTCACTTCGATGTTTTTAGTGAAATAAACAAGACCAAATATTTGGAATCATACCCGATATTAAACGTTACACACATGCCAGAATTAAACATGATTGTCATTTTTCTGAAAACATTAATGAACATTTAACCCATTCACTACTGTGGCTACATATATGGCCTCTACATTTGTCTGTTCACTACAGCTGTTACGAAAAGATTCTTGCCTTTAAAATTCCCATGCAAGCTGCTAGACTGTATACATTTTTGTCATAATGTTGTCCCTCAAGATATCAGAGAGGCCTGTTCGACACCTCACTCAGGCACTAGCAAGCACTGCCAGAGCTAGAAAAAATGTATATTATTTTATGGATTTATTAGATAGCACTGACTGGCGAGTTGATGCAGTGAACATGAAAAACATATATGTACCAGCCACAGTGAATGGGGATAAAAGTTTTCCATCAAGAAATTGTAGAAATTGTCATACAGACCAATGAATAGATGACACGGAGCTCCACAATATCGGAATCTTGTAGAATAAACTACAGAAACATGCCTAGCAGCAAACATCAAGTCACAGTTTTAATGACCACACTTTACAAGTCATATCAGATCATTAACAACCTAGGCCGAGTCAATCTCTTGATTTCAACATTTTTTAACAAGGTAGAGAACGTACCGTGTGGAATCCTTGCCAATCCTACATTTAATTTCCCAATCAGTTATACTTTCCTAATGCACTGGATCCCCTTTCCTAGTCCGATTGGGATTAGTAGGACCTGTTTACCAAATATCTAGGTACTTACCATGTCATCAGAAAAAAAGTATTGGAGCTACCGTTGTTAATAAAAAGATGGAGCTAAAACAAATTGGCCAATTATTCATTTTATTACCTGTTGAACCGACAGACAAGATTAATTACCCATGATTTTACCTGCACAGTAACAAAAGACACCATGTTGTTGTAATTGCAATGTGAATGTAACAACCATGCTAATAAAACTGAAAGTTTTGGGGTTACTCGATATTTGGTATAGGTAATAATTTTAAAAACGTTCAGAGAAACGTTTTTCATTCACCTGACAGATAAAGAAGAATGTTTACAGTGGCTAGACATCCAGTAGTCCAAAAATTTGAATATTAATGAGATACAACAATAATAAAAATAATAATGATCATGTTAATAATTAATAAATAATAATGATCATGTTAATACTTAATAAATAATAATGATCATGTTAATACTTAATAAATAATAATGATCATGTTAATACTTAATAAATAATAATGATCATGTTAATAATTAATAAATAATAATGATCATGTTAATACTTAATAATGATCATGTTAATAATTAATAATGATCATGTTAATAATTAATAATGATCATGTTAATAATTAATAAATAATAATGATCATGTTAATAATTAATAAATAATAATGATCATGTTAATAATTAATAAATAATAATGATCATGTTAATAATTAATAAATTATA